GTGATAAAACAATATAGAAGTAACCCTTCTGAATATTAGGAATATGGTATCTGGCACTTGCCGTATTCCCATTGAGTTGATAAGTGGAATTCATTAATATACCATTGATTGAGAGGAGAAAAAAAGAGAAAAAAACAGAAGGACCGGAATATCGCTACGATAAGTGGAAAAATAATTTTGATTGACCAGGTCTTGGTGATTTACATATGATTTCAAACATATGGTCTCAAATATAATATTAAGAACGCTTGGATCCGTAGCTTCATTTCATTTGTTAACAGCACCCTCAATGTCGTCTTAATGTAAGTCAAATTATGAAGCAGACATTGCTGTATCTTTAGGTAAATACCTAAACAATAATTTAAATATTATGTTAACTGTATCATACAAGACTTTGTCAAACAGTAACAGTAGTATTCAAATTTTCAACACCATAAATGCATTCAGAAATTCCATTACATTGTGTTCATATTTTAAAAGTTTTTTAATTGGTTATTTTATTATTATCTGGAAACTTAACGAATACCAACTTTGAAAGGTAATTAAGAGGAATAACCCTGGAACAGTGAACGTCAAAGTCATCAAAATCGTACTTACCATGCAATATATATAGTTTTACAAAATATTTAGTTTATTGCGGTACAGAAATTATCATCCAATATATATCAAAATTGTAACGGAAGGACATGAAGTACTGAAGAAAAAACAAATACCAAAACAACACAGAAAACTGAGAATGAGGAAATCGAACAACACCAGAAACTGATATGAACTAAGGTAATAGCAGCCCCTTTATATTGATCGTGTCAGATAAAACTGTTATAGTCACATTGAATGATGGTCATCAACGTCGAACAGAGGGGTAAGTACGCATATCGCTCAAAATACTAAATAATAATTTCATCGGAGAAGTTGTATCTTTAAATATACATCACAAAAAAATGCTTGCAGTATTTCACGAGTTGAAAAACAAAATGTCATACAACGATTAAACCCGATTATATAAGATAGAATTGAACACAGTCACCGTTCAGCCCCTATGTTTAAGTTATGATAGTTAATGAAGCCATGGTATACTTACGTTTTGCATTCTTGACTACAAAACAAACATTTTCAGTTATATTTATAACCGGAAAACAATCTTTTTTTTTGTGTCTGACAAATTAAGGTCATATCAGAAAGTAATGTGATCGAGAGGTCAATTTTTTGGACAAACATTGCTACAGTTAATATTTTCGAATGGTGTAGTATAGGCAAAATTATTAGAATTTGGATATTAAAATTATCTGAATCTTAATAACTTTTGTCATGTATAAAAATGTAGGTTGATAATTCTAATCGGTCATAAATGGTGTTTTTCAAATACTAATACAACACAGAAAACTGAGAATGAGGAATTCTAACCACACCAGAAACCGATATGAACTAGTGTGATAGCTACTTTTCAGTAAATAACATCAAGTTCGTAAAACGTACATTTTAGTCTTAGCTACTTGATTTCGTTTATTAGTCAGTATTGGCTTTGAACCAGCTGTCAGTTACTGCGAGTACTCTCAGATCTGTACTTTGTCTTTTTTGTTTTTAGGGATCTATAAATGCCCTGCCACGCCCGGTCTGTGTTTTTGTTAGATGCTTTTCGGCTTTGTATCTATCTGATGAGTTAAGACCTTTTCAACTGATTTTTATAGTTTGTTCTTGTGTTGTGCTGTAACACCACTGTCCAAAGTTAGGGTGAGGATTGAGCCTTCACAAATATATTTAACATTTTCATATTCTTTATGTGTCTGTCCCAAGTCAGGAGCCTGTAGTTCATTGGTTGTCGTTAGTTCATGTCATATTTGTTTTTCGTAAACTGTTTTGTTGTAAATTAGGCCGTAAGGTTTTCATATTGAATTGTTTCATATTTTTCATATCGAGAGCTTTTATAGCCAACTATACTGTTTGGGTTTTTCTTAAATTTTGAAGGCGGTACGGTTGCCTATAATTGCTTACATCCACTTCATATGAACTTTGGTGGATAGTTGTCTCATTGGCAATCATACCTTATCTCCTTATTTTTATATTCACAAATGATTTCAAATAAACACCTATTTGTATGATAAGACAAAATAAACTACAGGAACAAAATAACAATAATGAATAATACCGTATCAAAGAATCCTCGCATGTATTTAAAGCAAGTCTAAGTACTTAATCTGCTGATAAAGATATCATACTTTCTTACACTTTTGGTATTTTCAATTTGTGTTCGTGTTGTATCTTCTTTACTGTTTTTTTAGTTGTGTTTGATACTTTTGATGGCTTACATTTAGATTCTTAGTACTTCGTTCCATACACCACTTCCAAACATATGATACTGCACATTAGATGCATCAAGTTTATATCGGATTGATGATTGAAATTTAGTGGCAACAATTACAATCATATCAAAACTTGAACATGTTAGTGTAATATGACTGTGCAACCTAATTTGTAATTGATCGACAGGCTGAGATTGGTAACGTGCTTGTTCCAAAGGCAACATTCGTCAGAAAGACATTTCACATTACATGAACACATTATGTTGAATCCAAGTTGATTAGTAGTTTCTTTGGCATTCCGCATGCTTAGCGGGAAAGGAACAAATACCAACTAGTCCGTTTTTTGTTTTATGTTGCCGGGGAACGAATCCACGACCTCCAAAAATCAATTCGAGCAAACTACCACCAAAGACCACTCAAGCAATAAGAAAACATTATTATCTTAGTAATTTATATAATATCCTTAAAGGTAGTCATTAATCAGTGTTTCGCATGTATTCAATGGATGTTGAATAGAATAGAATAGAAAGATGGAGTTAACGTCACAAGTATTTTTTTTAACAATACAATCAGATAGCAAAAAGCGTATCGAGATTTGTTTACCGTTTTCGATGAGAGATTCTTCTATCTTATATCCCAAGTGCACCTTGAAATTTACTTGATACTACAGAAACCATCAACAAATTACTAGCGGTTAAATTTTCCATCATAATTAACAGTAACCACTGATTTTGGCTGTCATGTTTTCCATGGAAATAAAACAAATAATTTATTTATGACCTTTTCAATATCATTTCTGATAATGATGGTTCAATTATGGCCATGTAGTATCACAAAATGACATCTGCATTTGATTTCCCACTGGTTTTAAAGGATTCTCTGGCATCAGTATGAAATGAGAATTCTATCTTTTATCTTTTATGAAATGAGAATTCTATCTATTTCCCCTTATACATTTTGAAAGAATTTGGCAGTCCAGAGGGAAGGAAATTTGCACATTGATCACGAAGGGTCAAGAACGGTATTAGCAGTCATGTTAAATATCTGATCCGGATTGAATTCATAAAAGACTTTCTTTCATAAATTATTTCTGGAAAGTTTTGTGCAGATGATATCAGAGAAAAATAAGACAATTTGCTTTGCAAACGGGTACAACGAGAATAAACGTGTATTTTTCATCTGGTTAAAGGTTCATCAACCATAATTCTTATATAGTTTCGACAGACTTTACATTGTAAGTGTCAAAGAAAAAATGAAAATTGAATTCTTGTAATTTAAGTTACCTTTATTGACAAACAGTTATGTATCAAGTATATACTATCGTTGTTTGTTTGATTGATTGATTGACAGTGTTTAACGCCACTTTCAGCACTATTGCGCTAATTCGTTGTGGTCAGTTTTTATTGGTGGAGGAAACTGGAGTGCACAAAAAGAAACTTCGACCTTCGGTAGTAAAACTAACAATCCTAGTCAATTAAGATTGCAGTCTAGTGCACTTGCCACGTGCAGGATTCGAACTCACAATTTGGAACCTCAGCGTTGACATCCTAGTGATACAGTAGTTCGATTACATATACCATTTTGTCACCGAGGCCAAAATATCAATAGATTTTTGGAAAAAGTATGTCAAAAATGGAGACAATTCTTCTGAAAAATTATGTAAAAAATATGCTGGCAGTTTATCAGGGCCAGTGGTTTTATGGGGATTTAAGTTTTTTTTTAGAAAGTTTAATATTCCATCATTGTTAATATTTATATCTGGCATGGTGGTATGGGGACTTGTACCTTTTTTGGCATAGAAGATGTATCTTCGGTAGTGAAAGCATTTTTAAATTGTTCATTAAGGATGTTTGCTTGTACATTAGGGTCACTGTGTAATCATATAGACCATCCTTTCCTTTTAGTGGAGAAACTCCAGATGTTTTAGATTGATGATTGTTTAGATCTTTGGGGCTTTCAGATTGCATCTACCAATACCATATTATGATCAGATATACCTGGAATGGATTTTATTTTTTTAGTTATTAATGCAGGTTGGTTTGTGCAAAAAAGGTCAAGGATGTTATTTTTCCTGGTTGGAAAATCAACCATCTGATCAATGCCTAAGTTATTCAGCATATTTATAAATTATTATAGTTCGTTCAGCTGCTTAGTATACAATGAGCCAGTATCCATTTGGAATACCGACCGTTTCTATTCTTTAAGAACATTCCCTTTCAAAAAGTTCCAAGGAAGCTGAAAGACCAAAGGGTTAAAGCTTTGAGTTTAAGTTATCTTTTAATAGCTTTCCGGACCCGTTATGACCACAATGATACGTATATTTGTATGTGATGTAATCATAGTCTCACCCTTCCTTCTTCGTAAGAAAAACAGAAATGCTGCTCAGGATTATGTGTTAACATTCTCAAGGTAATAGTCCACAGGAAGACATGTCATTCTTACATTGAAAGTAATGTTTTAGATTTGTCTGTATAACTGATATATATCTCTCATTTTGTTTGCCAATGTATTAGAGTGCCTGAAGATTATTTTGTGTTTGTAACCTGCAGCGGCCTAGACATCCAGAAATTATAAAGAAAAATTGTATTCATTTACATAGGGCTTTGTAATTAAAAATAATGTTTTATAAAAACATTTATGAAAATATGAAGCACAGTCCGAAGTGGTTGGTTGTTATTTAGCGATGAAAAAGATGAAGAGTGTTATTATGAATATTTTATTAAACAATAAACACGATCAAATTCATAGTTTCAACATATTTTACGATGTGAATGTAAAAATTACACACTCAAAACGTCAATAGGAACAGAATTCTTGATGTCCATGACTTTTTTGTTTCTTGAACTCTTCCTTAGTTTAAATATGTCGTTGCTATAGAACAGGAACCACACCACCACGAACAATCTGAAAGAATATGAAGATTAAAATCGGTCAATAAAAACTCATTGCGTGTAATTAATGATACAACTAAACTGCTTAAGATTTGATACCTTTTTCATCACTAAAAGTGCACATGTTAACGAGAATTTCATTATCAAGAACTATCCAGGATCAATTTAAAACAAACCATATTTACAACAAGGTCGTGTCTCACTGCACTGTTTATGACGTTTCTATATACAATCTTCTGAAGTACATATGTAAAGATTAGAGCTTTGATTTCTTTATCAGCAGGTTGAGTACGTTGAGCTAACTTTAAGTAACTAACTAAATAAAAATATTTATTTAAGAAATAACTAATAACAATTGGCCAACAAACACATGTTATAAAGATATATGTTAAAATTTGAGTTGAGCTGATATTTACAATACATTTGTTTATTGTACAAATTGTTAAGCTTTATTTTCTATATTTGATGATGACATACAAACTGTATATGCTTAAATACAGCACATACTATAGCCAAAAGATAAGTAATATTTACGACTTTGAAAAAAAAAAACCCACATGTGTGCTTTAATTCAAACAAATCTTTAATTGTTTGTTTTGATAAATATTTTTACGCACTGTTTAATGGTTCATAAAGCTTTCAACTGTTATGAGCAATGTTTGTAAAAATATTACTTTCTTCCGTACCAATATAAACTAATGACACACTACGGCTGTTTTTTTTTCAAGATTTGCCATTTGAATTTTTTCACACATTTCACAATTAATATAATTACATATATAACTTTAAAGCTGTTTTTATTAATACCTGAACCCCTCCCCCCCCCCCCCCTGAAAAAATATAAACCATTTATGGTTTCCATTGGACATATTATCTTTGTAAACGACACGTCAGCAATGTCTTTTTACGGGACCTAGCGAAAAATCAGATTACGGTCAGGTGTATAGTCTCCCTTAACCTCCCTCCTATCGTCAGGTGAATACTTTTTTTCAATATCATAATGATTTATTGAATTTCATTTGACTGCTTGATACATACCTCTCATACCTTTTTTCATTGCACGTTTTACGCCTACAAGACACAAATATTTTCATATATGTATATCCATTATTTCTAAATAACATTCCAGCCAATATTGGCAAAAAATATAATTTCGAATTTGCCGATCATTATCAGAGTTTGTCACAGACATAAATCCCTGACGTGCTTCACGTCATTTTACTACATAGATATTTCATGAATAATTTTACTCTGACCACTGGTCAAACGGGTGTCGGTGCAAACAAGAAATATATGTAATATTTTACGGATTTCTATGTTTAATTTCCCCATTCAGGTGCAGTTGCTTAGACCTTTCTACTATTTACACGATGATTGTATGGTTTTTACTGCGTCAGTAATAATGACTTTTGTTGCCAGTTAGTTCAAGTTCAGTTTTCCTGGATTAATCATTTTCCTATGAGTATTCGTAGTTTCTCATATAGCTCTTCACGTTTTTAAGTACGTATGAATCCTTGGCTTTCAATGTTAGGGTATGAGCATGCATGATGAAGGAAAATAAAGAAAAGCGCTTCGCACGCAATGTTTAAAAAGAGTTATTTTTGTTATTCTTTTGTGTTTTGACTTAATGGAATAAGTAGTATGATACGAGCCATTGTGTGACCTTAAAATTGAAAATTAATAAAAATCTTCAATCTTTTCAATATCATGTTGATTGTTTTTAGATTACTGTGGGTTCATTACTATTTGTGGGATACCAATTTTCGTGGAATTCATGGGTTTAGGTAAACCACGAATTTAAATGTTCAACGAAATACACATTTCTGAAAGTTTGTATATAGACTTTGGCAAATCCACGAAATCAAATATCCACGAAAAAAAATCCACAATCACAGCATGATATGTCATTTTATGCATATATTATAAAAAAAACAATGCAAGTATTTACCTGACTTCATCGGAATATTACATTTGGGACCAGTATTGTTGCTAATGGGCTGATAAGTGACATTTATATTAATCATAAAAGGAGGACGGCAGTATGAATATGACAAATAGAACATATTAGATCCGCAGTTTCCTTTTCTTTTAAACATCATTTATTTGTCAATCAAATCTAGAAAGGAAACCCAAGCAACTCAAGCTCTTTAATGTCGTATAAGCTGGAAGAGATATACTTCTTATCCTTCTGAAATATTTCTACCTGAGTACGGATTATTTGTGTTTCAAACGACCATGGATAAGATTTACTTGTCATAGTCTCACATCCGTCCCCTTTTTTTTAATTTTGCCATAACCAAATGCAACTTATCACCGCATTTTTACTTACAATGAGTGCCACAAATGGAACAGGATGTAGGTTAGGGTTCGTGTTACTCAATATTTAGTTTACTGATGTTTGCCTTTAAATTTCCTTGTTTTTCTTTTTGGCCCTGGAGTTGTCTAATTCAAATAAACTTATGGGTTTTGAGTGCCCCCCTTGTACCTACACATTCTTTTACCACATATTTGTTATCGCCTTCGTGTTATATCTATAGTATTATACAAATTTTGAAATTTGAATGGCAAAACTACTTAACATGTAAACTATGCAAATGTATCAAAGTCAATGAACCATGACTGAGGTTGAGGGCCACATATCCCCCCAAAATTTTGTGAATGCTTATATAAATTCCATATAAATATCGTTGACCAACCATTAGTGGTTCGTCTTAAATCGTCCCAATCATTAACTTTATCATGCAAACTATGAAAAAGTATCAAATCAACATAACTTAAGGTAGAGAGATGATAATTTCCATGGAAAAGAGATATGCCAATGTTAATACCACATCCCATCAAACATCATTCAATTCGCATTGTTGGTTCCTTTCAATTACCCTTATCACAAAACAAAACATGTAAATCCAGAAAAGCGCTTCCGACGCACGAATTGTATAAAATGTTATTTTCATGTATAAAGAGAGAGAAAATACCAAGGTTGGCATTTGAAAATCATAATAAAAAAAAAACGAAGATGTGATAGGATTGCCAATAAGACAACTCTCCAATCAGACCAAATGAAGTAGAAGTTAGCAACATAAGGTCACCGTTCAGCCTTCAACATTGAAAAAGTTCAATGAAAACAGACAAAGCCATGAGCAAAAATAAAAAATGCGAAAAGACACAGAACAATTACAAACATAACATAGAAAATTTAAGACTGAGCAGCACGAAGCTCACCAAAAACTTGGGTAACTAAGGTGCTCCGGAAGGATAAACTATTGGCAGTCAATGTAACATTACTGTGGGTACGTTGGCTGAATAACTTCAGTACGTAATACATCTTCCTTACACATATCATTTACTTACCATAAAGGGTTACACTTGATAAAGCATAATCACAAATTTTATTATATTAATTATGGAAACGATTCAGTATGTTGACCATGACTTATTGATAGGGTCATATAATTTCTATGAAAATAGGATTGCCAATGCTAATACATCTAACAGCCAACCCAGCATTTGTGGTTACCCTCAAACTGATGTAATCACACACGTTTATGATTGTTGGTAACGCTGTTGCTGGAAACAGCACGCCTACGATGACTCCGAAACATCGATCTGTAAAACTTTACAAATGACGAATTCAATTCATACCATTTTGCGAATTACATTTATATCATAGCTTTTCCTGTTTGACAGTAACGCTTTATGCAACTGACAGTAAATATTTCAAATATTTATGGTAGTTAGAGGATAATAAATTATTGCATTTGACAAAAATCCAAAAAAATCTGTTGTTTATAAGAATGTACTAAAGAGGCAACCAAAAACTATAAGTCGGAGAAAGACAGACACCATGGCAACAGAACCAGTAGAAACAGTATAAGGAGGACTAAAATTCCATTTTTACCAATATTTCGCGTAATACTTATACATGTCATTTCATTATTGAGCTGCATTTTTCATTTTTCATTTGAATTTCACAAAAAGTGCATTAAACTATTACATGTGATATTTGATTAAATTAAGGTGGTTTAGGCAATTAAAAGACAGACTTGAATACAGTGACCAGCCACACTGTATGATAAAGCTACTCCCAATAATGTTTTATATATAATTAATCTAGTCATATTTTACTTACGGTTCGCATTTTTGACTACAAAATAAACATACACCTTTTTTTTAACATATACGTTTGTTTGTCAAAATTATGACATAGTAGCTAATAACATTATCAAGAGATTCATATTTTTGTACGGACACATCAGCAACTAATGTGTATGACAGATAAGTGTAGAGATCATTGCTCTAACTTAAAAATTGAAATGATTTATTTTGTCATTAATAGAAATGTAGAATGCCATTGAATTTTTGTCAAGTGTCAAATGAACCTTTTAGTGAAATAAAAAAAAATTGTTCACCCTTTTCACTACACATTTAGACAAAATAAGAATATTTTTGTTCAAAAAGATCACCAAATAAAAACAACACATATTTGGAAAAGACCTAAGTCGTTTGTCTTCTTCAGTGTTTGGAGCACACGGCATGTCAATATCAATATATGTATCTAACAGTCATTATTCCGAAAGCGGATTCTAAATAAATTGGTTGTATCTGCTTTCAAGAGATAACAATTGAAGACTTTATAGTAGATGGTTGAAATCAAAGTTTTAATCTTCATAACTTTGTGAATGTAGAAAGATGAATTTATGAAAAAAATGGGTCAAGGTGTGTACAATTTTAATATATGCAGGTATCTTAATAGAAATTAAAGAGCATAAAGTTTCTTTTTTCATCCATTTGTAACTTCCTTGTCAAGTGGAATATAAAGAGAAAAAAAGAAGGAATTCTATGTCCACTGCCCTGGACTGCTTAAGGCTTTTTAAGTCCAAGTGATTTAGAATAAAATATATTTAATTGACGAAAAAGGATAATATATAACATACCTGCTATTATCATACCATCATGGTGAACCCTTTTTCCATGGTAAAGTTTATAACCTCTACAAAAGTCTGCAATTTTTTCGCCAGCCAATTTTAACATTTCATCATGCGTGATGCGATTTGCACGGACCATTATTTCTTCTTTAATTTCATGTTGGAATTGCATCCTGAAAGATCGGTTTGAAAATGCATTATTAAGAAACAATATGTAAATTAGTTGATATAGTAAAATGTTAAGTGATTAAAATTGACGGACATAAGCTAAAATTGTAGAAGTGAATTAAAAAAATCTCGAAGGTTAGAAAATTAGTAGAATGACAGAATACAACTGGACGATTTAATATCGTAGCGACTGTCTTACGAAAAATATTTACTTGTAAAAGTAAAAACCCATTTGAGAAAAACATAAATATTCAAAGGAATTTACACAGTTTGTTACAAGAAAACATATATACAAAACCAACGTTACATAGAAAACACTAGGCAACTCTGCAATAAAATGCTTCATGACAAGTAAGCGTAGACGACAAACTCGCCAAATTGAAGAAAAAAAACCGTCATTTGTATTGTATCCGGTAATGAGTCGATTAACAATGTAAAATATCTAGTGATCTCTTCAATGATATTGGGAGAGGACTATTAAAATATCAATACAGTTTGAATATATAAAGCCATACACATACCAGGATTATGATAACGTATGCATGACGTGTGTTTCGTTAACATAGATTAATCAGTAGCGATCGAATTGATCAGTTCAACGGTCAAATCAATTAACGAAGTTGACATACAATGAAAAAAATCGACTATTTAGTAAACAGATACTTATTAAACTATCTGAATTATTTCTTAGCTTCATGTATAAATGTGCACCTTATAAAAGGGTCATGATTTAAGTGACATGTTTTGAACAGGATACAAGTTTTGATAACCGCTATTGTAAACACATGATAAGACAGGACGGGATCAAATAATATTTAAAAAAGGAACAAGACTAGTTAAAAATACATAAACGGTAATCATGATACATGTATAACTTCGATTTTGAGTAAATGTCTGAATAGTACAGATTAACTGTTCAGTGTTACTACTGCATGGACGCATCATATTTCAACTGTGTATCATGAAATTGACAATTTAATGTAATAACCAGTTTCTCTCATATTTTATGTTCAAATTCCTTTAAAATCAGCGTGCTCATAGATAAGGGTAACATCTTCTATGTTACTGATTTAATCAAAGATACATTTCTTAATTTAAAAGATAACAATATCTATAAAAATTGCCACATTAGAAGTACCCACTAACGAAAAATCAATTATCTCCTACAAAGTAGCTAAATTCTATGTTTGCACCACTGATCGTACGAATCATAAGGTCCACTTACTGAAGTTAACGAAACAATAATATTATAGCTGATTTTGTACAAATCAAATTTGGTCTATTACATTTGTAACTTGTTTGTCCTTCATATTTGAAACAGAAACCTGAAATTAACCTTTTAATTTTGTCGAGCAGATCCACTGAACCACTGTAAGTTTCCTTTGTATCTAGTATTAGGCAAATACCATAATCTATGTTCTTGATGGCAACTTTTTTCTGTAAATAAGAAGAATAAATGTACAGAATAAGATGTTTTATTTCTATTAAATGGGCTCACGAAGAGCATATGTGCATGCATCAACCTTCAATTATCTTCAGTAGAATACGTTTCCTCCTTATGTGGCACCTTAATAAAAAAATAAGTGATCTTTTTTTCAATTACATGATATTTTACAGTTCGGATTCTGTTTACAAATATCCTATCGAGATTCGACTCTCACGTATTTGACTAAAGAAGACATATTGGTTTTAATTTAATCTGTGAATGTAAACAGAATGAAAAGAAATAAAACTTATTTCTCAAAGGTGAATGAAATTTTATGCAAAATGAATATAATTATAATGCTGTTACGGGAAGTAATAGAATTGAGAATGGAAAAGGGGAATGTGTCAAAGAGACAGCAACCCGACCAAAGAGCAGAAACCAGGTTAAAGCCACCAATGGGGCTTCAACGCAGAGAGAAAAATCCCGCACCCGGAGGCGGGCTTCAACGGGCCCTAAAACAATAATTCAGTTATACTAGTTCAGCGAAATGGACACCAAGTCTTTAACTACGGTACTCTATTAACTATTCAACTGACTGTATATGTATCATGGAGATATTACAATAATCAGCATAATTACAAAGCTAGACCAGAAAGTTTTCGAAATACTGCATAATATAGATTATACGAAAATATCAAGAAAACCGAGCGACGTGTATGCAACGATTAAAGCGAACTTTACTACAGTATTCGATTCAATTTTTAACTGACCGTATTTGCATCATGGATATAATACAATAACATCATTAACATTTACAAGTCGAAGAAAAACTGAAAAATTGAAATACATCAATTTACAAATAATAGGAATTAACCTGGTTTATCGGGCGACATATTTGCAATAATAAACGACCTAAACTGAATTGTTTTAAGAATATGATTCAATGATAGCTAAGTCAACAGTTGTTAATCGATGTACAAATCTTCTAAATCCATTCAGAAAATACAAATCATATTGAAAATAAAACTTGAAGGAATCGCAAAACAATCGCGACCGGGTGCATCGACAGGATAAACGTCTTCAACTGTGAAATCATCATCCGCCGTGAGTCGATGGCTATGGGCTTGTTAAGCGTGCATCATTCGTCATAAATAGAGTATGCATCATTTTATTTTATTTTATCGGGTGTAGAACATGGTATTCGAAATGTTATATAGATATCTGTAACATCACACATTTAGTGTTAATTGACCTTAATACGTATAACTGAATACAGTCTATAATCAAACCTTTTCAAAATCATGAAGATTAATTGATTGGCACCAGAAGCCTTTCAGCTGAGACACGTCCCCGACATTGACAGTCATTACATTTCTCTCCTTGTCAACAACAACATCCTCATTGACTTTACCACCAGGTACCTTGATATTGATCCGGTATGTCTGTTAGTTTGAAAAACATTATATATATATATATATATATTAAATATTGGTGTTGTTTTGTACACTTTTTAGCCGTTTATACGATATATATATATACATATGTTACAGTGAATTTGTAGAATCAGGGATTAAGTATAATCCCTGAAATTTTCACTGGTAACTTTAGTGATTATATATAATTACTAAAATTTTCAGGAATTATACATAATCACTAGAAAAAATGTCAGGGATTATACATAATAACTGGAATGAAGTGACAATGAATAAATTTGTTTTCTATAAATTCATATTTATACATCTTTAAAACATGAATATCAAAATCTAAAGCACAATATTCTAATACAATCATTGTAAATTTGGATGACATCTACTATGAGGGGTCCCTCATTTCTTTATTCTTTTATTTTTTACATCTATTTTCTGTATACTGTAAATTTTAACTCAGTGTTCCCGTTTTTCCTTTGTTTTCTTCTGATAGTTGATGTGTTTCCCTCGGTTTTAGTTTGTAACCCGGGTTTGTTTTCTCTCAACCGATTTGTGACTTTTGAACGCCGGTATACTACTGTTGCCTTTATTTAGCACACTATTATTCTCTATTCTTATTTTTATGTCTATTTTTGTGTATTCTTTGATCTTTAGCTCTTTTTTTTTTGCACTGTTTGTCCGTTATTCTCTATTCTGTAAACCCCATTCAGACCCTTTACTTTTGAATATTTGCTCTGCTTTTCCCTTTTTGTTAAACATAAAGAAAACCTTAGCCTTCACCTATGAATCTGATTTTACTGCACTTTGAAGAGAAATAAGTGTTCATTTAAAACATCTGAAGGTGCTCAAACTGATTCCTTCTGTATCATTGGAGCCTTATTTCATGATTCGTAGTCATGCATTATCCTTTTCAGCCCTTTTATGAACGATGGCCATTATGTTTTTGGGGTCTCCCTTTCCACGATCAACATGAGGAATCGGTATCACAGAATTGTGTTCAATCTGTCAAGCCTGTGTTCTGTTTGTGTTTCTGGGTGTTTAGTTGTATTTATTTGCTTAGTTTGAAATCCTTGTTCGTAAACTTTCATCCCTTTTGTTTTACAGCAAATTACATGATCTGTGCATTTTTGTTGGTATTATTAATTTCAATTTAAAATACTTATCTGTTTATGAGTTAATGCGATTTAACTTGCACAGTTAAATAGAGTATCAACAGGAAAAACTGTTCACTTTAATGATATTTGATAAATATAACGTTTGTTTGATGGATTAATGGCTGGAATATTCTGTCAAGGCTTGTTTTGATATATCAAATATCCTGAAGTAAAATTTAGTGATTTTTCGTGACCTCAATTAATTTTAGAGCTTAAATAAACATTCTTTAGAATAATTGTTTGCTTTTTGCTAGCAAATATACAAACCTGTATATCGTCGTAGCTCATTACTGAAATGATTGACAATGTCACTGGAAAAATTACTGCTAGAAACATATTCGACACTTCTGGTTTTTATGTTACAGTCAATAGCCGTTCTGATTGAAAAAAAATAAACACTTAAGCACTGAGGAATCTTTGTCTTAGATAAAATATTGTTTAAACTTATAAGGCACAGTTCACTTGAAGCATTCAATATAATGCATTTCATTGTATTAACTATTGTAGATATATATATATATATTTTCGAAAATTAAACAGAAATTAGCGTACCTTTGTAACGAAAAAGCAGTAACTAATGATATTTGTTTGGAATCATGCCACACCACCTTATTTTCTATAGATATCATTCAATATAATGCTTAGTTCTCGTGTAATTCTATTGATTTTGGAAAAAACTAGATTTGAAAAGGAAAAAAAAGAAAGCAGTGCTATGAATGTCAACTGCTCCTCATGGGTAATTTTGGCGTAGTATATGGTTCGAAAGTATTGTATACTGCAAATGCAAAAGAAAAATGAATAACAGATTTGTAACTTATCTTCCGTTTATGTTGTATTTCTAAAGTTAGGGGGTTTGCATTTATCTTGAGGTTCATTAACTGTGTTATACTTGTGTAAAGAAATTAACGTCTTGCTAGTTGACATGCTTTATGATTCTATAAATTCGTAGCTAGGTAATAATAGCGTTACGTTACATTACGATAAAGGGCGCGAAACTTCTACATTACTTTAAGTCCTAAAGTCTCTTGTCCCATATTCACGACATTCTAGAGGCCTCAAAATTCTAAAGACATTAAATTATTTTCAAAAGATAAATAATCAAAATAGTTAAAAATCTATAAATATATCATACTGAAAGTTTTTGTGTACGCTCACTGTCTTTCACAAAAATCACTCAACTATAGTTCTAAGGGATATAACTTCAAAATTGGTCATGTGGTAACAAATCCTCTAGAAGTCCGTACTTTTGCAAAACGAATAAGTCCATCATCTCCTTTGATAACGTCTTCTATCATTGCTCTCCATAAAAGTCGTGGTGATTCATTTTCTATTTAAAAGACATCACCAATACCAACTTGTCCATCATTTTTCCGGAGGCTCGATGATATTATCGTAATCCAGTAATGTATTCGTTATAACAACGTTTTGCAAATTGGTCTTCCAACAGTCTTTTTCTTTCAATTAGTTTGTTTGCAGTGGTTGTATCAAGTTCTTGAATATTTGGGTTGTGTATGTCTTTGTGCATCTCTGTCTTCAAAATAATCCTTCCATGTAAAAGATAAGATGTGTCAGTGGTTCGGGATCTCTTTTGCCTGAAGATATATATGTAAGTGGGCGATTGTTTATTATAGTTTCAATCTCCGTAAGTATTGTTTTCAAAGATTGCTCGCTGACGAGTGCTCTACCAAAAACTTTCTTTAATGTCATTTTGGTCAAGGCGTTTAGACGGAATTAGACGTTCCCACCATCTGCCATACCAAGGCGCTTCCTTAAAAAAAATTGTCCAGTTGATGTACAAATTCAGCAGACTTTGTAATTCATTTGATGCGGCTACAAATATAGGTGCGTTATCGGAATAAACAGGTGTTCCTTTTGGACTGATTAAACGCCTAAAAGTGTTCAATGATAAATCAGGTACAATTTTCAAATGTATAGCTCGTATACATGCACATGTGAATAAACATATGTATACCTTCCGAGCTTGTGTTTAAGTATCCTTGATGTGTACAGGTCAGACAAAATCTATCCCGATAGTACAAAATGGTATGGTGTCTTTTACTCGATCCGTTGGTAGTGGTGGCGGTTCCGGTCTGTTATACGGTTTACCAATTATGTTCTGGCATTGTATTCATTAACGCAAGATAATGTTCACACATTGTCGAATTGTCGGTATCCAGTATGAATGTCTAATCTGTATTATTATCTGTCGGACTACTGCATGTATATTTCGAAGATGTACGTCCATTATTAGAACATCGGAGAGTTTGTGGTTTTTTGGCAATAAAAGAGGAAACTTTGCATTTTCTTCTAGAGTGGAATTTTGTATTCTGCCTTTACATCTTATGATTCCATTTTGATCCAGATATAAATGTAATTGTTGTACAAACGATAATGATTTAATTTTCGGAATAAATGTAATAATTTCTAGCTCTTTCACGAACCTTTCCTGTTATGTCACATTGGTCCATACATCCATAGATAATGCAATTTCCTCCTTGTTAGTAGTGCCTTTAGCTTTCTGTCACCTTGTGAACTCCTAAGTCGATACGGTTGCTTCTTCTTACAGTTATGACATATCTACGATCTGTGTTATTCCCTGTGGATCACTTGGGACTTTGTCGTCAATTATATGCGTCTCTGTTCCTGTGATATTGGCTACCTTAGTGCTAATTTCACATGTGTGGTCCACGTCGGCCATTTACTCTCGTCTGTTATTAATTGTGGTCTATGCATCCATAAATGTGAATCCTCAAATGGCGATGCACGTGTTTCAAGATCAGCTAGATTCATTTCTGAAGGTACATATTTCTATTCGTAAGTTTCAATAATATCTTTAATTTCGCTAACACGCTTTTTTACAAACTTGTTGAACGGATTCGATGAAGCAAGCCAATGTAGAACTAGTTGAATATTGCTCCAAAATGCTGCTCTTTTTATCCCTAAGTTTTTGGTTACATCTTTTGCAATTCGAGCTCCTATCACTGAAACCATTAATTCTAGTTTTTGTAAAGTCATTCCTTTGAACGGTGCAACACGGTTCTTTCCAATAACGATTGATGTTACTGTGCCTTTACTCAAGTGAACGGGGGCTCCATATGCTTTCTGCCTTGCATCAACAAAAATGTGAAGAGTAGAGTTACTGGTTCCTCATCTTGGTTTGCAAAATAGTATTTCTGTGATTTAAGTTTTGAAGTTGTCTGTAAAATGTCATTCTTTACATTGGTCCATGCGTTTTCAACTTTTTTTTTCGATAGTGTTTCGTCCCAAGCATATCCTTTTTTCAAAAGTTCTTGAATAAGTATTTTTGCTCAAAAGGTGATCAGTCCGAGTAGTCCTAACGGATCCTAAATAGCAGAAGACATTCGCAAAAGTTCCAGTGTTGTCAATTGTTTCGTTTCAGCAAAGCTGAGTGTATCTGAGTCCGCATTCCAGCTCATCTCCTCCTTGTCTGCATCAAGTTTTTCAGACTGTGCCACATCTCTTAGTTTGTCACTGTTTAACATCTATGATCGTAAGTATAAGCCTCCATGTGTAAGTAATTCTTTCGATCCCTTAAAGTATTTATTGCTGATTCTTAGGAGTCCATTCTAGTTAATACATTATCAACATATAAGTCACTTTGTAGAGCATGTAGAGCTGTAGATACTTTGTTCGGATTCATAGATATATGTTTCATCAATGTCGCATTTAGAATGAACGGAAAACACTTCGATCCCAAAAGTACAACTACCCTTCCGGAGCACCTGAGATCACCCCCAGTTTTTGGTGGGGTTCGTGTTGCTTAGTCTTTAGTTTTCTATGTTGTGTCATATGTACTATTATTTGTCTGTTTGTCTTTTTATTTTTGGCCATGGCATTGTCAGTTTGTTTTCGATCTATGAGTTTGACTGTCCCTCTTGTATCTTTCGTCCCTCTCTTTTAAATCTGTACATTGTTAAATCGTTTATTGGATCATCTGAGTCGGACAACCTAAATAATCTTGTGGCGTCTCTGTCTTCATTGTCAAGTCTTACTTGTAAAATGCCTATTGTATGACTGTTGTGATTCCATATTTTCCTAATCTAAATCTTGTAAGAATGTTTGTTAGTTTATTCAAAATAAGTGGCGCTGAAGATAGGCAGTCATTAAGGCTTGGAAATCTTGATTTCCACGGCAACTGCTGTCCTAAAATATTCTAATAGGGGTCGTGCTTGATTCATTTTTCACGGGATAGTGTGGTATATAGTGGATTCCTCCATTTTCGCGATCAATTTCTGTAGAGGGTACCTTTTCTATGAAGTCTTGCATCTCCTGTTCATTGATTATCTTATCGTATAAATGTAACATATCCGAGCGGGTCTTGGCGAACCTAGCTATAACATCCTGGGTCCTCATTCTTGCTATATATTCATTTGTAGGTAACTCTCGGCGATCTGGTTTCCATGGAAGTTTGGAGATATATTTATTTTACCGAAAAGTTATGTTAGAGTTTTGGTACTGAATCATAAGTTTTGTACTTGTTTTGTATTTTCATTTTTGAGTCCGTCTCTAATCCGCTCGACTCATTCTCCCAACATTTCTCTAAATCGCACTTCACGAGTTTGTGCTTAACTAAACATTCATCAATGTAGATTACCATTGTCTAGTGTTAAAATCTGTGTTCATCGGTCCTGATAGTAAATAGCCGAATTTGGATCTAACTGCTATCGGTCCGTCACCTCGAACGATTTCATCCTTTAAGACCAGTAAGAATCTGCTCCAAAGAGTAGTGAAATGTTGAACTTTTCATTATGTGTGACTGGGTGAGCAAGTAGAAATCATCTTATATATGACAAGCTATTGATGTGTACACGTTTCTTCATATGTATCGGTGTGGCAATTTTTGGAACAATTATTTCCTTCATTGGAATTCCTTCTCTGCTTTCGGTCTCAATTGATAATGTCGCTTTCTCTAGGTTGCGTACCTCACCCATTTATCCACCAAATGCTGAAACTTTCATACTTATTATACCATTCGATGTGATATGTAGTTTTTCTATTTACTGTTAATAAATAAACGAGTTTTGGGCGCCTTCGTCGAGTAGAATGTCATCGCGAGTTGGTTGACCGTTATGGAATATCCGTTTCACAGATGATAGCGGATATGTTCCCATTGTCGTAACTACAATCCCGTCCCCCTTTTCCCGAATGTGACCTACTAAATTAGACTTATTACCGGGTTTGTACTTACATGAGCGACACGACGGGTGCCACATGTGGAGCAGGATCTGCTTACCCTTCCGGAGCACCAGAGATCACCCCAAGTTTTTTGTTGGGTTTGTGTTGCTCAGTCTTTAGTTTCTATGTTGTGTTTTGTGTACTGTTGTTTGTTCTGCTGGTCTTTTACTTTTTTTTAATCCATGGAGTTGTCATTTTATTTTCTACTTATGAGTTTGAATGACTCTGTTGGTATCTTTCGCATCTCTTTCATAACACTTTCATCATGATGCTAAACGGGCGCTATAGCAGTTTTTTTTATAAAATTTCGGTATGAGCTGGAAAGGCAGAATGCATATCGACGCTCCTTGTTTGTGTACTACTTAGTACATCTCCATGGACAAGTTTTGTTTAGGTTATCACCATTTATAATGGAATTTTTAATTTGAAAAGTATTACGGCAAATGCTGCTATTATGTTTATTACCTCAATATCGGAAACTATATTGTGATTTACATTCAGAAATCTCATGATTAAATGCGGACATTTGTACCATTGATCTTTGTACATTCATTTGGGTGATGCGAGTTTTGACAAAATAAACAAGGCCTTTTAGTCTTATGTCTACCATTGTCTTTACTATCTTTAGAACCGGTTGACCTCCATCTTTTAATTGTAGCTTCTGTTACGAAAGATGTGGTTGGTATAATATCGGTTTCAGTAGGATTGGCGTTTTGGCCTCTTGAATACAAATTTCTTTCTTTATGGCTTTGCGTAAACTTGAAATTTCCCAATCATCATTACCATAGTACCGAGTAATGTTTTGTCTGACAAGTTTGTTGAGAATTATTGGTACTAATAGGCTTCCGTACGATTCCTGATATCGACTCATTCCTTCTCTTGTGTCACTGAACGATTTCAGTACCTTAATTCCAGGCGTTGGTGCAGGCAGATTTGGCAAGTATTGCATGTATGCGTTTACGATTTTGTGTTGTTGGCCAAAACTCTCATGTAGAATTAGTATTGCTAGGTTTTAATTTTTACTTACTAGTATTTTGCGTTCTCGATATACACTGGCTAGCTTCTCCGTAAAGTTGGAATTCAAAAACAATAATCTTTGTACGTCACTCAATTACGGATTTTCATGAACGGCAGAATTGTATAAACCCCAAAAAGCTGACCATTCCAGCAGATTTCCGTAAAAAGTGGGCATGTTGAGTTTAGGCAATTTGTTGTAATTATTAGATGATATAGATTTGGGCATGTTTGATGGCTTATGCTTGTTTGTTCTGAGTTCCAATTTATCGGATTTGAATGTTATTGCACGCTGGGGTTTTTGTATAAGAAATATGGTGCTTTAGGGTTTAATGGTGATTGATTTTTTAGCTGACTTACTTCTTTGATGTAGTTCTCAATTTTGGTGATTCCTGTCGGATTGTCCAACTCGTATCTGTCGACTTCTTCGATTTCTATGTTTATTCTTTATTCTTCTTCGTCTTCAATTATTTCCATAATCTTATCATTCAGATCGAACAATGTCTTTTGCTTCGTTTTTATCAGCTCCATCATGTTGTTGTGATTCTTCTGTCGGATCTCCTTTCTTTAGTAGCTTTAATACTGCTCTTCTATGTGCTGCTCGGATTGCTTTGAGTTTTTGTCACGGATCCATTATCTTAAGGGTTATTACCTTTGTTATTCTTGTGTTTAGAAAATAATGTCTTGCTAGTTGAGATGCTTTATGAATCTATAGATTTTTGTAGATACGTAACATAAGCGTATCGTTACGTTACAACGGTGTTCGCGAAACTATTACATTACATTACATTCTAAAGTCTCTTGGCCCATATTCACGACAGCATTCCTCAAAGGACCGAAACAGTTCACGAAATAATTTGGACATTTGTCAAAATAACGATACACGATAAGGAGAAAAAGTTTTAAATCAGTCTTTAATTGCACGAAAAATGTCTTGGAGGCACCAAAATTCAGAACTACATCAAAGAAGTAAGTCAGCTAAAAATCAATCACCATGAAACCCTAAAAGTTATAACACGCTGAAATCCTATAATTTGTATATTTTATAACATTAAAGCAAAGATTCAAGATGAACTTGTCCATAAGAGATTATCGTATGTCGACCTCTAATATATCATATTATAATATTTCCATTGATAAGCTTCAAATTGCGGAATACATTTTATCAAGAGAGTTAATAGGCTTGGCAAAGGAAATCTAATAACTGGAAATCGTACATAAATAAAAAATAAAAAAACAACAATCAAATAACACCCGATTACATAAAATGGAAATCTGATAAAATAATTTGAGATGTTGTATGATTGCCAATGATATAACTATTCAACAGAGTCCAGATAAAGTGAGGTTTAAGCAATTATATGTCATCGTACGGCCTTCAACAGTGAACAAAACATATACCGTATAGTCAGATTTAAACGACTCCGACATGTAGTATAACAATGTCTTTTGAAATATCCAAAACGACTGGGTATTTTTCATAATACTCTTCCTCATACATGCAATACAGGCATCACCTGTCTTATGATTACAAGTCGTATCAGGAAGCATAGGCCATGACATTATCAGAACATAACAAAAAAGGTAAAGGATAAGTGTGGTTAAAATCTGGGACCTTTTAATGTCTCATATTATTTGAAAATAATGACATCCCATGCTCTTTAAGGCGATAGTTTGATCTATTTTAAAAGTATATATCATTTTAAAGGTATTTCATTTAAAATTAACTACAGTGGTTTTCGAGTTATAAGTATATTGTGTGAGTGAAATTGCCATCATTAGTACATTTTTGGGAAAATCTTAAGAAACAATATGGTGTATCGTACTACGCTTGATGCAGTGGTATAATCGTTATCGATAAACCACAAATTCAAGATGAATTCTCAACATCCTGTTTTGTTAGTTAACACTCAATTATTTCATTATTGTATAGTATATTACAAAACACAAGTATATCAAAACAATTGAAAATAATTGCGTGTCAATGAATTAGATTGTTTTATTCTAATGGTTGAGACTATATTGTTAAAATAATTCATTATTAAATGTCTGCAAGTATAAATTTGAGAAACACTAGTCTACTAACAATTGCAGAATCGTGGTTAAAGTGACATTTTCCTCTTCATTTATTCTTAGTAATACACTTAATTTACAGTAAAAGTTTAAAAAGTATCGAAGAAAATCATTACTCCGTCAAGAATTAATTTGATGAAATCAAATTGTGGAATTGATTTGATTGAACATTCCGGAATAAAAACCATTACATAAAACATGTGCGCAAACAAAAATAGGGCGATGACATTGGATTTCAATCATTTTTTTATTAATGACAAATTAGTTAGAAAGATTTGTTTTATAGATTTGAGCATGAATGTATCCAACCATCATAGCGCATGAAATACATTAAGCAGATTGTTACATATTCATTCGAAAGAAGTTATAATCTTTACCATCAGAACAATAACGTTTGACTAGACAAGTGGGACCTCCAAAGTACCCAATAGTGATTGTCTATTGACGTCAAGATGCGAATAAAGCATGCAATATTGATTGTTTAGTGAATGCAGTTTTAAAGGTAAATTTATCATTCAAGTAATTTACCATAATATGAAATTTTAGATTCTTTGTTCTTATTTTGAAAGAAAATTCTTCCGTTTTTAAGTTTTGTCCTGATTGCTGCACATGTCGAAGCATATTGTATGTATTTGTTTTGTTTTGTGACTTGTGTTTTATTAATAAATCCTAATAATAATTTTAATTTTTCATAAAAAACGCATCTTCAAACTGAGGTGTCTAATTCGTCTAGGTTTGTTTACGTAACAAACCATTTCGTTCTTAGAATGATAAACAAATTGTAATTCACCTACCTTAAATGGTTATCCCTGCTTGAATACAAGAGAGTACTGAGCCCATATAGTTGCATCTTATTTAACATAATTATCATCGATTTATTTTTGACACGTTGTTAAAAAAGTCTTTGAAATTGGAATGCTGTCAAGTTTGCAGAAATCTCCAATACATACTGTAAACAGATATATCACGTTTTAATGATGTTCTGTATATGCAGAAACTATACAAAGGATTAAGTTAAAAGAAGTGCTGTCTTTCAAAAGACAAGTGGATGGACTACTGTATATGCTTTTTTTAATAATGAGACTACTGACGATATTTATTATTGTAAATTTTCTTCTTCATTATTTGAGTTCGCTCATACTGATCTTTGGCTCGAAACATCTCCGATAATTGCCATCTACTGCAGCAACAACATATAATTATCCTGGATTTAAATAATTAAATACATAATACCAGCGCTTGCATTACATGGAATTTGACGTAAATGTCAATGTATACAACAAAGAGGCACAAGTTATTATGAACGTCAAGAAAAATGTACAGTTTCAAAATATAAGTAAAATAGTAAAAATCAATAATAAAAATAACAAGAAAAAAGAAAAATCCGGATAACAAACATTCTTTATCAATAACAGCTGTCTGATGTGATTTGCGACTGAAAAAAGAAAGATAATAGCGAAGGGACATTAAAAAACCATAAGTCCAATAAAACAGACAGCACCATGACCAAAAACAAAAACAAAACATAAGATCTATAAAAGACAATACAGAAATCCTTATATTAAGTAACTCGAACCCAATCAATATCGGATATGACTGCTCCACTAGCGACACCGCCAATTTTATTCTTGTTGGAATACATTAATGAGTCATTAAACACTGAACAGTGCTTGTCAAAAACAAAAATACTGATTTTTCTTTTGTAATGTACTTTTGGATTCATGCAATTGGAGGATCAATAAAATGTGGGGTACAATTTTCTTATAACCTAAAGGGAAACCATGAATATAATGATATAATATCAGTGGAATATATTAACAAAAGTAAGAGAAAAAAATCAAGGGGTCTTTTAAGAAAGTATGACAGGAATAAAAAGAGATTTGACATATACGTCTTCGAGATAACTTGCAAAGAATTAGAAAAAAAAACATAAACAGAGCTGCATACAGTCTTATTCAATAGACCAAATAGGTTTCTATACATTTTGTCTGCTGTTTTGAGTCAACTTTTCTTCGAGCGCCCCTGATGAGTCTTATGAAGAAAAAAATGAGCTTCTGACGTACTGAAACTATATATATAAGCCTGATATCCCTGTATTGTCGCTTGTCTATAAAAGTTTATTTATTGAATAGAAATAATATCAAAGATCAGCTATACATTGATTATTAGCAGTGTTTTTTACTAAATACAATCAATCAAACGATCCCCATGGAAGGAATAGGTGTATTCAAGACTGCAATAGTACAAACTTGGAATATATAGGTGTAATGTACCTGTCAAAACCAGGTACCTGTCAGTAGCACATATGGTCAGTGTCAATTTGTTGTAATGTGATAAAATTGTCTTGCCTGAGGTTAACATATAAATTTTGTTGTGTTCATAAAATTGACATTTTTCTATATTTTGCTATTTATAATATGTAGGACCCGGAGGTGCGATGGACACGCTGAAGTGCGATGATCACGGTGACTTGCGATGGTATACATCGAAGTGCGATGATAAACACCGAATTGCAATAGCCCTTCACTGATGTGCGAGGATCTATATGACGCTTATGGCTATTTTATAAACTACAGATGTGTAATTATTATGAGAAGTAGGTTTTGTTATCAGAAAGTATCTAAATGTTCATTCATTATTGTCCATAAATCATATATGGTATGTTTGTATCGATGATATATATGTGTATGGTTAAAATCGTTGAAAGAATTATCATCTTTAAATAAGCCTGTTTACCATCCACATTAGGATTATGTGATAATCGTATACTGTTTGAATGCCATACAAGTGAAACACATCCGTGGTAATCTACAACAAAGCTATCCAGAACGGTTAACCAAATCATGATAGCGTTCGTTACTCTTTCGAAAAGATTTACGTTTATCTATATCTTTAATATACATATCTTTAAACGGTAACGGTGTATGTAACATATGAAATACAAGAATATAGTTTATATTATGTAGTGTCCTTAGTTAAAGTTTAATTTAATAAGAGGTTGTCCTTTTTAAATTTGCTGCAGGTCTACATAATACTACAGTTAATCTTTACTTTGTTCTTCTCATGCGTTCCACTTTTGCCGTAGTATTATGATACAGAGACTGTGAAGAGTCTGTCTGTGGAGCCGTATGCATTTAGAAAATGCCACAATCCATCGTACGCAAAACAAAAATTAAGGGATCCGCTACACATTGTTCAACCAGACTTCTGTCTTCAAATCACTTCCCCTTTCCCGTTGTATTTAAAGTGCATAAACCCCTTATTAACTTGTTCCAATAAGGAATATGCATAAAATATTGGCGACTGAAATTTGAACATCAAACATCAATCAATTTATTGATCTTATTTTGTCTAGAGGGTGTTTTAATGAGGTATAATAACAACTTTTACTTGTGGTTTGTGACAGTTACTGTATTCAACAATTTGATATCTCCACTAACATGATTCAAAATACCATCGAAATGAGTTTTGAAAACAAATACATTTCACTTTCGTACGATGCTTAACATTAATAAATAATTAATTGCAAAACAGCCAAAATATTTATTCTTGTCTTTAAGCTGACAGTCGTTAGCCATACTGTAACATCACTTAGCGTAAATTATCGGCCAACATGAGAGACTATATAAGTATAAAAGTTATAAAGTCTCATAACATAATTGTCTTTTATAATAAAATGTATTGGAGTAGACAAAAATGATTGAATAAATTCGCTCAAAGATCAATATCGTACTCTATAGAAGAAATATATATTGTAATGGGGTCTAACATTTTTCATTTATATCAACTTTATGACTTTTCTTTGCAATATAATATTCTTACGACGGATATTGTTAAATTCTGTTTTTAAAACTTACAATTTTAGGGGTAAGTTCCTTTTATTTAGTTTTTTTGCTACTAGAAATAAGAGATTTATGAATAAGCTTTTTAAATAGAAACCAAGGCGCAGTTCCTTTGCTTTTTATTTCGTCAAGTGCGTTGTTGTATTTAGTGTCATGATCACAGGCGCTTGGGATATGGGTACTACTGTACTGTGTTACAAAAAAATATAGTATGTTAGTATTTAAATCGTATAAGCAATTTCATATCTCCACTAACATGATTCAAAATACCATCGAAATGACTTTTGAAATCAAATACATTTAACTTTGGAAGATGCTTAACATTTATAAATAATCAATTCAAAGATGCCAACATATGTTAATGTTTGTCTTCAAGTTGACAGTCGTTACCCATACTGTGACATCACTAAGCTTAAATGTTTATTATCAGCCAATTAAAAAACCTATTAAAAGTAATATTCATACAATAAAGATGTTCTTTCTTGAAATCAATTTATTATAATCATACCAATATTCACAATACAAATTCACAAGTAGGCGTATTTTATTAAAAGCAATATACTTAAAAGGTTATAACTTTAATTTAAACAATATTTTATTTTCAAAAGTGCACAATCCGTCTTCAACTTTAGCTATTAAACCAGGTTCAACCCACCATTTTTTTCGGAAAATGTTTGTACCAAGTCAGAAATATGGCAGTTGTTGTTCACTTGTTCCGTTGATAAATAGCGTTTGATTTTGTCAGTTTTTAGGGACTTCCCCTTTTTGAATATGCCTTGGAGTTTGGTATTTTTGATTTAGTTTTTTATACAATGACATTGTAAAAGCCGTATCATTACAGTACAAAGGCTACGTACACTACTAACAGTAAATTTGCGATCCTACAAATCCTTGAATAAAAGGAAAAATTTAAAGTCTTTAATAGTGTTTTGCGGGAAATCAATTACTTTGTTCATCTATTCATGAAGCAGATTCTTATAATCAAACAATAAAGCATTTGACAGTAAAAATATTAATTATTTTCAAAGTAATGAGATTTTAGATAAAATCTAGATTTTGTTAAATGATTTAGAAAATTTAAGAAATATTGATTGGATCATTTATTGCGTTGTCAGTTTATTTTCGACTGATGGGTTTGAATGTCCGGTTGGTATCTTACGCCTCTCTTTTACAAACAAATTAAAGATCTAAATATCTTATTGTAGCCTTTTCAGTCACATTTCAAAATGTTTCTCTGTATACAAATTCTAAGAAAAAGAAACCACATAAATAGATAATTTAAGGAAACAGTTTGACAGTAGTTCATGCTGACTCCTAGAATTACAGTGACAAATAAAGTTTCTATGCCTTGTATTTTGGGTTGATCATGCTTGGCAATCGTTTGTCTCTGACGGAACGATGATCACTAAGTAAGCCTTTTTAGATATACTTATTACCATCTTTGTTCCCTAAATTTATATTCTGATGTTAACTGTTCTGATGTGCATTGTTCATATATAACTATGTTAATGCTTGGATCTTTAATTATAAATAAAGGCTAAAATCTCATTTATAAATAATTCGAGATATTGGGTTTATGCAAAATAGAAATCATCGAAGGACACAAAAATACAGAACACTTAGCTTTAGCAAGATTTGGGACAGCCTATTTGAAGCTTTTTGTTTAGATAAAACTCGCGTCTAGAAAATTGTAAATAAATTGACCATTCGCTACAAAAGATCATCCTTCAATATTAAATTCCCTCAATGAAAATTAACAAAGAGGTAGGGCCAACCTCCTCTGAGCTTATAAATAACACGGTCCATTTTTCAAAGTTTCCCAATCTTAACTCACATTTAAATTGTTACAACTCAATGTGTGTACTTTGAAGTTCAAACAACATGATTGTGGTGTATTTATGAATATGTAACCAAATTATAAATGCATAAGAATGGCTCAAAGCTACAGTTGGAATAGATTTTGGCAAATTTGGAATAATTATCGGAAAAAATCAATAAGAAAGCCTTTTCGAACCAAA